GATAGAATTACAGGCACAAAAGCCCTGTTGAGAGGCACAGGAAAAGCCTCTTCCTTTTTGATTTTTATAGTGATAGAATGAGAGCCAGGCTGTTCAGTGAATGTGGGCCAGAGCTATTGAGACCACTTAGTGGAGATTGGCGGGATCGCATCTGTGCTGGAGATGGGTTGAGGAGGTTATTCTTTGGCACCTAAAAATGCTTTTCAAAAGCCAGTCCCTTTTTTCATGACAGCTTGGAATTGGGTCTTCTTTTACACAGAAAGCTCTTCAATTAAAACTTAGGTGTGAAAAGTACAAGTTGTATGTACTTTTTTATAAGGCAAGGAGGTACCCAGGGATAGGCCAAGCTGCCTGGATTGGGGGCGGGGAGGTGAGAGGACCCAGGACTGAACTGGGGAGCTTCAGGGGGAAAGGCAGAGAGCAGTGGTCCAGAGGTTACAAGGTTACAAGGCTCCCAGATGACGCCTTCAGTAAGGGTTGCCAGGACAGACCCTGGGTTTGGGCCTAAGAACAAGATCTAGCTCTTCACTGGAGTCATCTTTGAAAAAGCAGGTTCTTGTGACTTGAGGCTAGTCCAGCTGTGACCAGGAAAGCCTCTTCCTGTTCCTTTCCCAGGACTCAGCTGTGGTTGCTCTGGGGACAAGGACAGATGCCGTGTAGTTTTGTGCAGTCTGTGACATCTCAGGTGAATAGTGAGGGCAGTTCACAAGCCAGAGTAGGCAGGCTTTAGGATTTTGCTAATGCAGAGTTTGTCAAATGACATATGGTTTTCTGGATGCATCTTACCCCTGATCCCAGGTTTCCTTGGGACCCCAGGAGCATGTCTTCTGGAAGAGCAGGTTATCGTGAAGAAGGCAGGTCTTGGGTAATTCTTCACTTCCAGTGACCTCCACATATAGGCTTGTTGGAAAATCTCTGAATCATCATATTGCTGAACTGCTTGTTGGGACCAAGATGCTTCAAACCTACAGTCCCCATTCTCCTTGCAGAGACATAACTCCAAGTCTGTGATAACACTTCTTATCCCATACCCAGGCATAAGTCGTGGATCACTGTTGCTACCTAGCATGACCTCAGGTCCCAGGTCATTCTTTTCTGGTGTTGCAGAAAGTTGTACTAACTGATTGGAGTTGGCACTTGAAATAATATTCATTTGCCATTCCTACTCTTCTCATTTTTAAGGTTGTCATGGCCATAATCCAAAATTGAAATGCACCAAATAAATGAGATTAGACCAAAGCTCCACTTTAATGGGGCATGTGGGGAAAGATGCACACTTTTCCACGTCAGGTGCCCGGGGACTGGCAGAATAGCTGGCAGCAGAGCCAGTTGCAGAGGGTGGACCAGCACACGGAGGGTGGGAACTGAGGCCTCAAAGCTGCAGCCAGTCCAACCCAAGTGGGGAGCCCCCTTCTTAGCATGGAACCTTGTATAAGTGCACTGGTGGCAGGCCCAGGGAACAGCTCTATGTACAGCCTTAATATGAACGTGGCTGCCTACACATGTTCCTAGAGGGTCTGTTATTCCAGAAGGGGACAAGGGTAAGGAGCTGAGAAAACATCCTGCAAGACAGTTTTCTAGTGGCTAGTTGGCACATGTTATTTGACACCTGACATTATTATAATGACTCATATTTGGGGCTTCTTCTGGGTGTGAGGGGCCATGAGCAGCTCTGTTGGCATCCTGGGGACCGTGGGACAGTCACCATCACTCTGCTCCTGAGCTCTTTGAAACTCATCCTTTCTCTTCTGAAATTCTCTAGTTTCAAGGCCTAAGCATGGGCTTCACAGGTGGTACAGTGTTAAAGAATCTGCCTGCCAATGTAGGGGGCGCAGGAGATGTGAGTTTGACCCCTGGGCCAGGATCATCCCCTGGAGATGGAAATGGCAACCCACTCCAGGATTCTTGCCCCCAAATTCCCATGTACAGAGAAGCCTGGCAGGCTACAGTCCTTGAGGTCACAAAGAGTCAGACACAACTGAGCATGAACGCATGCATGAGACCTGCTGGGCTGACCTTGCTCTTCCATCTCCAGAGCCATCTCCAGAGCACTCTCTCTCTCTTTCCTGGTGCTGCTTCTGTCACCTGCCTCCCTCCAGGTAGGGTGTGTTCCCCTCTCTGCATCCCCAGATTTGGCTCAGATATTTCACTGTTACTTCAAGGCTAGTAGCTCCCAGTCTTCCTAGGGTCAGGAACCCCTGTAAGGAGAGTGACTGATGCTTTTCCCATAAAACTTTCACATCAGGTCCAGGGGACCCAGGACCACCTGCACGCCAGTAACTTGTGGTGCTTGGTAAAAATGCAGGTTCCTGGGCCTCATTCTAATTCAAACTGGATTAGAATCTCCAGATTGGTCCCAGGTATCTGTATCTTTACAAGCATTCTAGTTGACTCTAGGCCTCAAGTGACTAAGAACTGTAGCCGTAGGATGTCAAGGACATCGGGTCAGGGTCAGTAAACCCTAATCTAAGCACCTCATCATAGCAACGTCCTTGGCCCTAACATCCTTGGCCCTAACTAACGTGCCCTAAGTATACAGCTCCGGTCAGGACCTGTCTCTGATACTCCTTTGGATGGAAATGGACTGTCCCGAGAACTCTTGCAACCTACTATATACAGTTGATTCTTGCTTGTTCACCTTTTTTCTGCCAACCTGCACATCTGAATTTGGCTTTATCTGCAGTCCGGATTGACTGTGGATTGATTTCTGTCTGACAGCTATGGAAAGTCCACATTGGGTCCTTACCAGGGCGTGTGTGGGGCCATCTGGTGGTTTGACTACAGGCTACCCTGATCCTAGAAAATGCCGTGCCATTTTCAGCAAATCATTTTTGCACAAAATAGGACTCTCTCTATATATATATGTGTGTGTGTGTATATATATATACATATATATATATATATATAAAGCATACCATCAAACACTTGCTCTTTTGAAAGTTTTCCTGTCTGTCAAATAGGCTCATCAGTATCCAGGCTCTGAATCATCTTGAGAGGCCTCCTGTTTAGCCTCCAACCAGACATGGAGTCTTGCCCGTTCTTCTGCTGAAAACACCTCTCGCATTTCTAGCTCCCTCTAGAACGCTCCAGTCACCAACCACATTTATCTTCAACCTTGTCCCAAGTTTTAACTACAAACATCCTCTGGATATGTTCTCCTCCCCACCCCCACCCCCGCCTCTCCTCTCCCTCTCTCATCTCACTCCCTAGTTGTATTCCACTTCCATCGACAGAAAGGATCGCAAACGCGCACTGACTTCAGTGTCATCTTCCCTTCCTAAAACTCTACTATGGTTCCGCGCTGCCTTGCGGATACTGTCTATGCCCCACCACCAGGCCTTCAAGTGTTGCTGCGCATCCCTCCGCCAAGTACCCCGGCCTCATCCCAACACACTCCAGCTGGGCCAGGTTCCCCCCTCTCTCTCACCCCTGGACCTTTGCTCCAGCCGGTCTCGTGCAGGGGTGCCCAGCCCTCACCCCTGCAGCTGTCTCAGGCCCCCTGGGTCTTCAGAGCTACAACTCAAGGCTTATCCTCTCTGCAGTCCTGCTCAGACCGCCCTTTGCCCAGACTGTCCCAGCACCTCTGTGGCTGCTTCTCTGTTGCTCCCTCATATCTCACTGTGGTTTCAGAGTATTCACCTTCCTCAGTTCGATTGTAAACACGACAGATTGAAAGACCAAGATTTCTTTTTTAAAAAAATCATTTTCTTTATTAATTCTTTTGGCTGCACTGAGTCTTCAGTGATGCACACTGGCTTTCTCTAGTTGCTGCAAGGAGGAGCTACTCTTCACCGCTGTCGGGTTCATGGCCTTCTCCTTGTAGTGGCTTCTCTTGTTGCAGGACATGGGCTCCAGGGTGTGTAGGCTCAGTAGGTGCATTGCACAGGCTTAGTTGCGCTGAGGAATGTGGGATCTTCCCAGACCAGGGACTGAACCTATGTCCCCTGCATTATTAGGTGGATTCTTAAGTTAACTTAACTAAGTTAACTTAACTTACCATGGACCACCAGGGAAGTCCCAAGGTTTCTATGGGTAGATTTTGGTGCACACAGTAAGTGCTTCATAAATGGTGGTTTTCTGAAAAGTCACAGGACTTGAATCTTTAGGCAGATGTGCTCACTCCAATTGGAGAAGGGCATGGCAACCTACTCCAGTATTCTTGCCTGGAGAATTCCATGGAGTAGCCTGGTGGGCTACAGTCCATGGGGTTGCAAAGAATCAGACATGACTGAAGCAACTGAGTCTGTATGCACCCACTCCAATATTGGTGATTGTCTGTGTGATCAGAGAAACAAAAGACCCTCAGCTGTTCATTCTGCAACCTCACTGGTCTGTGTGAATGCTTATTAAGTGGAATAATTGACACTAAGACTGTGGAGCAATTTATTGTGCTAGATTATGTGTAAATGATTCACCTGAACACCTTAGATCCTTTTTAGAGTGATTACAAATGAAGAAAGCTATTTGTTACCTGATCTGAGCCCTCAGGTTTTCTCAGGCAATTTTGTGCAACAAAATAGAAACCCAGCAAACCAGCTTCTGGTCTCAACTCCCCTGGGTGGCCCAGAGGAGACAGGCTGTCTGGATGAGTGCATTCGGGGCTGCTCCCAGGACAGCTGGCTCTCAGCCCTGCAAATGCAGCACTTCCCAACACCTAGCTGCACACAGCTGCAGTAGGGCCCACCCACGTGGTCACCAAACCTCATGTAATCAAGGTGACTTTGGAGTCTATGGTGAAGCCACTTAGAAATTATTCTTAGTCCACTAGAACTTGAGCAAAAGTGGGTTTGATTGGGCTATGGGTATTTGTCTAATTGTTTTTAAGGCTCTTTGGGCAAGTATACTGAGTTCTAAATAAAAGGCACAGGGAAATTCCTTAGGGCCCATCGATGATCAGTATGTTTTAAGAGGGGGAAAATGCTCTTTGTTCTTTGGGTTCGGGAGTTAACTTAACTTACTTCCATCTGTGGTTTATCATCTAAATTTTTCTTCTGTTGTAGGACCACCTGGCCCAGCAGGTAAGAACCTATAGATATTCTGAGTTTGCGGGGAGGATGTGGGTGGCTGGCTCTCCAGGATCCCTCAGAAGGGACTGAGGCAGGGAAGAGGGAAGAGTCCGGAGGCAATCTTGACTACAGCTGTGTCCCCACCTTCTCTCTACCCTAGTCACCAGCTCTCCTGCTCCCTCCCACTTGAGAGCCTGCCATCACCACTCCCTACCAGTCACTGCTTTGGGGGGTGGTGGAGAAGGTGGGGAAGGAAAGGAAGAAGCAGGGGACGCTCTGGGAGAGGCCTTGATGCCTGGCCAGTCTCACTGGCTGAAGGAAATAACATTAACTTCAGTGAAAATTTTTTTCAGTGTTCCCATTTCCCGTGTTTTGATGCAGGGCCTCCCGGAGTCAGTGGATTACCAGGACACAACGGATCAGATGGACAGCCTGGTCCCCAGGGCCCAAAAGGCGAAAAAGGAGCCAATGGAAAAAGAGGAAAAATGGGTATTTAGGCACAGTTTTTCTAATTAAATCCCTTGGGTTTTTTTTGTCTCCACCATTGCATTTTGGATGAGCCACAGCTGATGCAGTGGAAAAAGTGCTGCATCTCTGAATGCAAGGCTGGTTAAATGTTGCCTGGAATCTGCTGTGTTCTGGGGCAATAAGGGCCTCCTTTTTGGTCCAACCTTGATGATGGTGTATGTCCAGGCTGCCTGGAAGAAGCAGTATTCCTGGGAACTGATATCCACTCCTCTGCTTGCTCTGACGCAAACAGACAGATGGAAGGGGCAAAAGCGTCTATACTGGTACCCCAAGTTCTTTCAACAGTCAGTTCCTGCCCTAGCCAGGGTAGCTGACAGAGAGGATGAGAGGTGAATGTGATCAAGTTGACACCAGAGAGGTAACACAGTCAAATCAGGTTAGCCCTGGCCATTTTAAGAACCAGGGTTTGTACTCGGCCCCTTGCCCTGCATACCTCCCTGGGCAGCCACACAAGGGAGGCTGCAGGAGGGAAGGGAGGAGGCTGTGAAAAGCCTAGCTCTGTGGACGGGCTGTTGGGAGCATGGCTCAGCCCTCGACCAGCTCAGACTCTAGCCTGGACTGTCTGACTGGAGATCAAGGGCTGTGCTTTCCCTGCCACCCTGCCAAAGCCCTGGGGCTGTGAATGCCCTCCCCTGCTCCCTTCCTGGGCCCAGGATGCATTCTCATCCCACCCAGAGACCAGCGTAATTGCAGGGGGTGGGAGGAGAGGCCAGAGCTGGCAGGACCGCAGAGAAGAACTGGCTTTGTTCTGGGAGCCATGAGAAGCCACAGGGGTTTTGAGGAGGAGAGTGACATGATCAGATCTGCCTTTCTGTGATACCCCTACTGGGGGCGGACAAACTAGAGCAAGCATGGAGCCAAGACAGGGAGATAGTGCAGAGGCTACTCACCAGGCAGGCAGAAGGGATGCAGGTGGGGTGTGCAAAGGTTGACGAGCTGAGTGATATTTTGGGGGTAAAATCAGCAGTACTTGGGGAAGGCAAATCTAAGTAGGAAGGGGGAGGGAAACACCAAGGCTGACCCCAAGGTCTCCCTCCTGCCTGACAGCTCTTCCCTAAGATGGAGAGCCCTGGACCGACTTAGGTCCTAATGGGATATGCTCAGTTTGAAATGCCTTGAAATGTCTAGGACGAGGTGTCAGAGGGCCTTGAAGATGCAGGTCAGCAGTCAGAGGACACCCTGGAGCTCAAGATGTACCTTAGGGAGTCACCTGAGGTGATGGGCTTTTGGGCCATGGACCCAGCCCCTTCGGGAGGGAGCCACCTAAGAGGAGAGCCTGGGCCCATCCGGGAGGAGCAGCAGTATTTAGTAACCAAGTAGAAGAGAGGAGCCAGCAAAGGAGGCCAAGGGCAGGCTGAGCAGCAGGAGGATCCCTAGGAGAGGGTGGGAGCATTCACCAGCAGGCATTTATTGAGAGGGTTCCCAGTGCTAGTGCAGAAACAAAATAGATGCAGCCCCTATTGTACTGTGGAACTTTCTGTCTTTGGTGGGGAGGCAGACATAAAGTCAACAATCAGATTCATCTGTAATCACGGTATGAGGTGCAGAAAGGAAAGAACAGTGTGTTATAAGCAGGGCAGAGAAGGAGGGTCAAGAGGTAATGTCTGAGGTCAGACCTGAGGGACAAGGGCAAGGCAGACAGTGGCCCAAGTGGGGTGCACACACCTGCCAAGGCCCTACTGGGGCAGCTGGGGGAGGGGGCAGCCAGGTGAGGTGGGAGGCAGGGGCCAGGCCCTTCCAGAGCCTTCTGCGTGATGGTCTGGGTCTCTCCGCCAGCCACATGCAAGATGTGACCCTCAGGGCCAGGGTCATGGCCATGAAAAAGGAGGGGCCATCATGTCAGCAGAGAGCTCCAGGATCTTTAGTGGTTTGGCAGGCAGGGTTGGGAGAAGGGAGGAGTGGGCACCCCTTCCAGAAAGAGGGAACAACAAGTGCTGTTTCCAGAAACAGGCTAAAGAGCCCGTGTTCCACAGAGATAGGACTGGGTTAGGCTCTGCCCTCTAGCAGTGATCTCTGAACAATGGTATATATTAATAGCTGACATTCACTGTCAGGCACTCTACCAAGTCCTCTCTACATTTACCTCATTGAGTCTTCACGACAGCCCCATGAGATGGGAATCTTTGCTGGCCTTATTTTTCCCAGATGCAGAAGAAGTCTCATCTTTCCATTTTCCAAACAGGCCCGGACCCTCTGTTCCAGGGCGTGTGCACTGCTGTGCCCCAGCCCATTCCTCCCCTGGAGCAATCGCAGCTGATACATCCCCCCCTCCTCCTGTTCAAGATCACCCCTGGCCTCCGTGTCTGATCCCTGCCTCACCAGCTGTTACGTCCCCTGCTCTCTTCCGAAGCATCGATCTCTCCCTGAAATCCTGTCCTCGTGTTGCTCGCTGATGTGCTGATGGTCTGGCCACCCGGGGAGAACGTGAGGTCCACGAGAGCCAGGCTCTGGAGCCTGGTGCACCCAGTGAAGGCGGCAATCAAGTCATTGTTGAACTAGCGGACATAACATGCCCCGTGTCCAAAAGCTAATAAGCATAAGAGGCAGGCTTGACTCCAGGCCTTGACTCCTGGACCCCTGCTCTTAAACACGACAGCACTGAACACTTTCAGGCTGGAGAGGGTTGAGTCCAAGAGGCACTACCGGAGGTGCTACAGAGCAGGAGCAGGAGGAAGGAAGCCCGGGCACCGGGAGCTAGCATTATTAATTGTCTAAGGATGTTGCTGAGCCTCATTGTGAGTCTCACCAGGAGGGTGGGAGGGCACCAGCCCTTCAGAGAAGCCCACAGGACACAGGCAGGATGCACAGTTCATCAAGTACCCACGTGTGAGGCAGAAAGAATCATCCCTGCTCTCCAAGCAGAAGGGAGCCAGGAAAGGCGTTCTGGGAGCACCTGCCTTGTGCTCTGACTGGCTTCGAGGGCCTGGGTCTCCTCACCTGTACACTGAGGAGCAGGGCTTCCAACAACTCTTAACGTGGCTTCCAGTTTTGAAATAGTCTGCTGCAGTGTTTGTCTGAGAAGGAGAGACCGTGCCTGTGTATCCTGTTATTTGACACAGCTCTCAGCCAACCCCAGCTGAGGCTCAGTAAAGAACTGATGAGTGAAGAATGAAGGAATGAGAACAGTAGGACATGGTTTCTGTCCATAAGTGCTTGCAGTCCTGTTGAAAGAGAAGATAGAGTTTATATACAGCATGAATCCTGTAACTGGTTATTCTGATATGAAGATGCTTTATACTCTACAGCAGGGAATGCTGCCAGAAGAAAAATCTGAACTTAATTGTGCAGATAATGGACAAACAGGATCCTGTATAGAGGATGGGTTGTACCATAGAGCTAAGTGTAAAGGACAAGAAAGAGACGTGTGATCCACACCTTGGAAGTAAATAGAGGGGAAATGGGGAGGGCACTGCAAGGAGAGAAGGGAAAGGCCCTACTTGGAGGAACTGATAGGGAGGCTGGCCATGCCTATGAGAAGGGCCCCGGGTGAGGATGGTGGGGTGGGGAGGGAGCAGGGGTTTCAGTTCTGTGTCTGCAGGAGGCAGCCAGGAGCCACTGCGGGCTCTAGAGAAGACTAACCTAATGACACCAGAGTTTAGAGCTCCAGACCAACAGTTGTTTCCAGGATATTGAAATATTAAGCTAACCCTCACTTTCTGATTTTAGGAATGCTAAGAGCAAGAGTGGAATAGGCCAGAATCAGAGCGTGAAGTCTTGGTTTGGATCCCAGCTCTTCTGCTTACTAGCTGTGTGCACTTGGGCAAGTTACTTAATCGCCCTGTTTCCTTAACTGGAAAATGAGAATAGTAATAGTGTTTTTAGGAAGGTTAAATTTATATATATATTTAAATTTATATATATATATATATATATAAAGTGCTTACAATAGGGCCTGACACAGAGCAAGTGCTGCATTAGTTTTAGATATTAAGTGGTAGTGTTGTTTCAAAGGGTGGGGAAGGAAATCTGATTGGAAATGCCTACATTTATTTGAAAACATCAACTTAGACTTAGAGAGGATTGGACTTAAACGTCGTCCGTTTTGCAAACAGCGTCTTTTTCGAAGTTTGACGTGCTATGCCTCAAAACCAAGCATTTTCTTTCTTTCCATCTGCCTCTCACTTTCTCACTCGAGAATTAATGCTTCAGTGTTTTCTCTAAAAATTGAGTCCCCACAAAAACAGAAATAAACATCCTCCTCCTTATTCATCCCAGCCTTGGGTCTGGGTTTTGCATAACACCCTCAGCTCCCATCTCCTCCGCCTCAGTGGGTGACAGATGGTGCTGCCAAAAATAAGATGTCCTCCTTCACCCCCTGCAGTGAAGGTGATGGCGTTGACCCCACTTGATCTCACAACCCCAGACTCTGGGAAAATGACTTGTTTTGAGAGGGCACTGCCAACGGGAAAGGAAAACAGCAGAAAGCCACACCCAGCACCCGAGCAAGGCGAACAGAGTCTGGCCTTTCTTCTCCAGCAGAATGTGCTGACTCCAAGCCTGCCAGCAGTCATGGGACAGACACTGCCCTGATCCAGGCCACTCAGTGTTTAGCAGTGTCCCTGCCCATGGCCAAGTCAGGGGAGGCAGACAGTACCACATCTGGCTCCTTTGACAGCGAACGTGATGAGATGGTGGTATACTTCTGCACGCCATGGCCAGGGCACGGTCAAGGTGGTTGCACCAACCAAGAAGAGGGAAAAGTTTGTGGAGGCAGCAAAGACTGTACATAGACAAAACGTCCCCTCCCTTTTCTTGAAGAAAGCTTAAAAGTGATCATGTGCACACCCAGCTGAGTGTCAAAACACACCCATGAGCAAAAGTCCTTAATATCCTGAGCATTAAACACCAGCCCCTGTGCATTATGACAGCTGTGAGAATGTTCTGTTTCACACCTGGCCTTTTTGAGAAAGGGAAAAAATGCATAAAAGGAAGGAATAAAAGAAGAGGAAATCGAATGATGA